AGACGTTTCATTACCTGACTAGGTAACATCTGATGTTGTTACCTAGTTGGGTAATAAAACGTCTGCCAGCAAACCACCAAGTTCAGGGAGCGCCAATGCCTCCTCATTGCAACCCTGAGCGACAGATATTCTCTTCTATTGGGACATTTAAAACGGAGGGTTTCAGCTGCAGATTCAGGAACTGCGCCGGGCTGAGGAGCGCCTTCAAAACTGAGCGCTGGGCGGCGGCGGCCCACGGCTGTCTCCGCAGCTCAGGACAAGTCCCTGCAGGACGGCTGAGAAGCCCCGCCTCTCAGCCCTGCCTCCCTCAGCCTCATCCCTCAGGTGTCTGCCTTGTTCCTCTCTCAGTCGCTCTCTCGCTCCTCCACTAGCCCAGGAAGAAACTGCTTCAAAGAAGCCGGCAGGGTGGCTTTTCATCAGCGCAGCTCCTCCGAAGTGCCCATTCACCCCCACCCTGCCGCCCACGGTTCAATCCAGTGCTCCGCTCTGCCTGCCTGCCTGCCTGCCTTCATTTCTGGTTGTTTCGGAGCAGCTTCAGCTGAGAAAAAGAGGCGAATATTTATTATTCTCAGCCAAAGCTGCTCCGAAACAACCAGAAACGAAGGCAGGCAGGCAGGCAGAACGGAGCACTGGATTGAACCTGGATTGATTGGCGGCGGGGTGGGGGTGAACGGGCGTTTTGGGGGATCTGCGCCAACAGGAAAAGCCACCCTGCCGGCTTCTTTGAAGCAGTTTCTTCCTGGGCTGGTGGAGGAGCGAGAGAGCGACTGAGAGAGGAATGAGGCGGGAGGAAACCGAAGCCACTGAGCCGGAGAGCAGGACAGGCTTTGGTTGCTTCCTCCCTCCCCTTCTTTCATTTGTGTCCTTGATCCCTGATCCCAGCAGCATTCACCGAAGGCGAAGAAAGCCACCATTTTTATTTTATTTTTTATTTTTATTTTCTTTGCGGCCCGGTGCAAAGTGATTCACGGACCGGTACCGGTCCGCGGCCCGGTGGTTGGGGACCCCTGCCTTAAAGGACATTCATAGTCCTCGACTTACAATAGTTCACTTAGTGGCTGTTCAAAGTTACAATGGCACTGAAAAAAAAGTGATTTATGACTATTTTTCACACTTACAACCATTGCAGCATCCCCATGGTCATCTGATCAAAATTTGGATGCTTTGCAACTGACTCCTATTTATGATGGTTGCAGTGCCCCCCCCCCCCGGGGTAGAGTGATCCTCTTTTGCGACCTTCTGAGAAGCAGATCTGGGAAGCCAGATTCACTTAACAGCCGTGTTACAAACTAAACAACTGCAGTGCTTCACCTTAACAACTGTGGCCAGAAAGGTCGTAAAACACAGCAACACTCAGTTAACAAATGCCTCGCTTAACAACACAAAAATTAAATTTTCAGAGACATACCTGGTGCCCTGCTTAGATTGCTAGTGAAAGTCCTTTTAACATGTATCTCATATGACCTGACAACCTTGTATTTTTTTTCCCTGAGGTACCTTCCGGATGCCCTCTTTGGTCTCTTTCCTATGCCAGAGGCAGCCTTAATATATCTGTAGCAATTGGGGCATTGAATTGTCATTGTCCCTCTTCCACCTTTTGCCATAGATATAGCCTGACATGCTTCACAGCATCGTATGATCAGTAAATCGTTAGAGCAATATTTTTCAATCTTGGCAACTGTGCCAGCGAGGGAATTCTGGGAGTTGAAGTCCACACATCTCAAAGTTGCCAGAATTGTGAATCTCTCCCTTAGAGGATGTAACAGACCTCCGCTCCCCTATTAAGCATTGGAGTGGGCATGCCCCTTCTCTTCTGATTCCCTGTTTGGCTTGAACAGAAGGTGACAATGTAATCCGGGTTTTGACACAGGGAATTTTTTTTATTTCATTTTATTTATTTGATTTGATTTGTCAATCACTTACAAGATAATGGGTGTTCTATCGCCAGAACAAGATAGACTCGAGACCGGAGTTGAGTTCAGCTCTTTATTTAACTGTCAGTAACTTCAACTAAACTCGAGCCGCGGCAGCCTCTTTTATAGCAGCTGCTCGCGGCTCGCAACCAATGGCATTATTTTAAACCTCCCGCCGTTTGGGCGGCCAATCATAAACTGTTGTTAACCACCAATCGCTAG